GTCTGGCCACTGTGAAAAGTGCTGCAATGAACATTGGTGTACAGGTTTCTGTTTGCGTCCCTGCCTTCATTTTGTCTGGGTATATGCCTAGGACTGGGATTGCTAGGTCATATGGTAGTTCTATGTTCAACTTCTTGAGGACCCACCAAACTGTTTTCCCCAGCTGCACTATTTTAAACTATTTTTAAAAGTTATCAGTAATAGATAACTGATAAAGAAATGTAGAACACTTTGGGAGTGGGGTGGAGTTGTTTACAAAAAGTCAATATGTAATGCTCACAACTATAGTCATGTACAATAAAGCTGAGTTTTCACCAGACACTGACAGTTTGACCCACATAGTGTTTTTAAAAATTAGAAGCCATTTATAATCAGAAAATTTCACATAAAAATTCAAATTTCTGGTTCCTCTTGAAAAATCTAAAGATCTGGCAATCTTAGGGGTCCAAATTATCACATGGAAAGGCTGAACACATGCCAAGTTTCCCCAGTACAAGCCCGGTTTATGCTTGTTGTCCTGGCATAATTCAAGAGACCCCTCTCAAAAGTGTTCTGGTTTGGACACCAAATTTATTTCATTGGTCACCCCACATATAGACAACAATCAGGAGGCACTGAAGAAGGGCCACCCCAACCAGCGCTCCAGTTTGCCACCTCTTTTACTTTGTTTCACTGCTTTAAAGGACCTGACTTCGAGACTACTGCTCACAAACATGCACACGCGTAAGTAAATTAGGCTGCAAGAGTATTGGGCAAATTGCACTGGACAAACCAGACCTGCAGCCCTACAGACTCTGGCTGGCTTTGGAAACAGAAACCTCACAAATAAGAAAGTTTACTAAGGAGATACACTCCATCTGAATACAGACAACTATGACATTAATGAAACTCTTAAATCACTTCTCCCTCAAATCACATGTTCTAACCAGACCTGCCCTGGAACTCAAAGTTCCCAAAACAGAGATATTTGTCCCACGCCCATGGGACAGAGCTGTTTCTTCCTACCAGAATGCGCTTCCATCTCACCTCATTTCTGCCCAAAGTCCAGACATGGCAGACAAATTACCTAGAGCTCTTTACGGATGACGGCCAAAGGAACTTCAATGCCAGGCCTAAAGTTACCTCTTTTCTGTGGCTTTCCCTAACATCTGCTGCCACACTATCACACATATTATTCTCTTGAAAATGTGTCTCTCTCTCTCTTCCTAGACAGAAGACTCTCTGAAGGTGAGGGCTATTCTTTGTTTTTATTCCTGGTCTTGCATGTGGTAGCCACATCATACATGCTTATTAAATTTAAAAGAAAATTTAATGAAAAAAAGTCCAAGATAAACACCAGACTAAAAACAATGGGAGGCAGGGAGGAAATGGGGATTGGAGAAGGATGTCAAAGACAAACTGAGCCTTGTCTGTTATTTTTCAACAAGGAGAAATTATTTAGGCATTACCTATACAACTGAAAATCAATTTTTAAAAAAGTAGACAGTTCTAGGCATGCAACTAATTGACACAACAGGAAATCTATAACTAATTTTTACCTGGTTTTGGCATACATTTAAAAAAATTGGTTTGAAAGAAAATTCCCTTTCTAATTATCTTTTTAAAAGGCTAAAAACAAAGTGGAATTGTAATCCCTTTGGTAAATTAATAGCACATGAACTAAGAACAAAAGAAGGCAGACTACGGGCACCCTGAACGGAGGAGGAAAACCACAGCTACGTCTTATGTCTTTACAGCTCTTCTCATGTCCCAGGGTTTTCAAAGTGCTTAACTTACTCTCACACCTCTGCAGGCAGACACTTAAAAGTTAACTGTGTACCTGTCTCTGAATTGTTCAATTATAATTTTAGGGTGCATATATTTTACCACAATAAAATTAAAAAAAAAAATAAAAAGTTAACTGTATACTAAATTTCCCTTTAGACTGGTTACCCAGCTCTCATGGACCCAGGTCTATGTTCATCACAGATATGGTCCAAACCCTTTTCCTGCAAGATTGTTTGAAGAATGAAATCCTTTCAAATTTGTTATTATGCTGACAAAAAGCTCTGTCTCCTCTGTGGACGAGTCAGTTTTTAGGCCAAGACTAAAGTGACAGAAGCAATTGTCCAGTTAGGAGCAGCCAAATGAAGTCCCTGCCAAAGGCGTGTCTTGGCTTCCAGAGTCGAAGAAGAGCCACTGAAGTGAGTCACTTGAGGTTGCTAAGGCAACGATACTTGAATGAGGTTAAAAAATGCTTTTGATCTGCAAAGGATGAAAAGTTGGACTGGGGAGAGCTGGGCGCACAAAAGTTGCATTACTGGATTTTAAGAGGCCGCCTTGGGGTGAGGCATCTCCTGGCCCCCAGTTTCCCTCTCCCTTCTGACACTGCAAGTACTTCTCTTATCTAAAGCAAGGGCACAGAGTACATGTGGACTCTCTGGCTGCCCTGACAACAAGCAGCAGGGTTCCAGCTCTAACTCCAGGGCCAATCAGAGCAGTTAAGAATACGAGCTCTGGAGTCAGACAGACTAGGTAAGAATCCCAACTCTTCCGCCAGGTAGCCGTGTGATCTTGGGCAAGAGTTACTTAACCTCTCTCTCAGATGCCTCTCCTGTAAAATGGGGATTCACCTATTGCATAAATATTTATTAAAGGTCATCTGTGGGCCCAGCATTGTATAGGGATATAGCAGTGGACAAACATGCATCTGTCCTCATGAAGCCTGCACACGAGTGGGGACAAAGCAGTATGTGGCAGAGACTGCTAGACAGTCTACCCCCTTCCTCTTAGGAATACAATCTCCCAGGTATTAACTGGGCACGTGGCTATTCCGCTGGAGACGACATGCCGTGAGGACAGACGTGTATCAGCATATAAAGTTTATACAGGTAAGGGCTCAGTCACTGGTGGCTGGGGTTATGGTGTTTGTTACTGTCATCATCTGTCACCTCTCAGCAGCAGCAACTCTTGCAGCCCACAGTGCTGTGAGCCAGTACTGCTCTCTTCTGAGGGTGGAGTCGAGGTCTGGAGCTACTTAAGTAGCCTAGGCAGCCTAGATCCCCAGCATTCCAAGTCCCCAGGGATAAGGATGAAAGAAACCATTTGAGAGCTCCAAATAAATAATAAATGTATCTGCATTCTCAGGATAGTCAATGTACTTTGAAAACTTGTACATTAGTCTTGGAATGTTACTATACAGGTAGACCCCATCAAGTTATGACGAACCACACTTAGGATTGTCCAATTTTTCTGTTGTTGTATCTTATGGTTAGTAACGTGTACTCTACACAATGTAGCAGTGCATAATTTACTGATGGTATCATTCTCAGATGTAATGTTTCCAATCCCCAAAGACAAAGACCGATTTATAAAGATACTGATAAGGCAATAAACAATGAAAACTAAAAAAAAAATGAGGTATCCAACTTAACGTCAGAACTGACTTAGGATTAGGTCTTTTGAAGATAGCCCTGTCTCATGCGGGCAACTACTTGTGTTCTAATCCTACACTCTCTTCCTCCTTCTAGTCTATTCCTCATCCTCTACAGTAGATACTTACTTTTGACACAAATAACCCTCCGCCCTTCTTATGGCTTCAGTACTCTGATTTTGTTTGGGGAAAACCATCTCTACTCTCAGACCAGGTGTTTACAGGAAAAGCTGATTCCGTCCTGGCTCCAGGAATTAAACACATGTCTCAGGCTTAAGTTCCTTACCCACTGGCCACCTTACTGATTCAAGAATGGGGCATATTCTAAAGCTATACCCAGAGACCCACCAGACTCAAACCAAACTCACTGCCATGGAGTCGATCCGACTCACAGAGACCCCACAGAGTTTCTGAGGCTGTAAATCTCTACGGAAGCAGACTGCCCCATCTTTCTCCTACAGAGTGGCTGGTGGTTTTGAATTGCCAAACTTTCAGTTAGCAGTTGATTGCTTTAACCACTGCGCCACCAGCGCTCCTTAGACCCAGGGACAGAGTACCCAATAAACAAGGTACACATGGGCTTACTTGGGTTTACTTACTAATCTATAGTGAACAATTTCACATGGGAGGTGAAATCCATGTGAAATTGTTCACTACAGATTAGTAAGTAAACCCAAATAAGCCCTTGCGTACCTTGCTGTTTAATCCGCCCCTGGCTAGGCCAACTAGAGCAAATGGGACTCAACTCTGGGATTGTTGTTTGAGCTAACAGGGAAGCAGACTCCTAGTTTTTCACTTGACTAAAGCATGAGATGATGCAACCTGGAGTTGAAGCCATCTTGCTAGCATAGGGGAAGAGTCTTTCTTGAAGGAAGCCAGCCCACAGGAAGGCCGTGCTGAAAGATGGAGGGGAGGAAATTCATGCTGGTGACACAGCCCAGGCTCTGAGTAAGCTGCACCAGTCAGAACCCTGGTCTCTCCAGTCATGTGAGACAATACATTCTCTTTTTGCTTAAGCTAGCTTAAAAGTTTAGATTCTTTGTAACAGAGAAAGTCCTGATACATTCTCCATTTTCTCAACTCACCAACAAAATTTGACACTGAGATATTCACTTCCCTAGCAAACAAGTAAAAAAAATAGCCCACCCACTACGTCTCCCAGTTCCACAGCCTTCTTACTGTGTCTTTAAGCTTGACCAAGAAAGGGGCCTCAGCTCCTTTAGGCTTGTTCCCAGCAGAACAATATCTACTTTCTGTGAATATACTGCCAGCTGGCTTGCATTGTTTCACTCATCTACCGTTGGATCTAGGATTTTAACATAACTGGAAGCATTATGTTATCTCCTTCATAAAATCTGTTAGCTGGATACTAAGATAGAAAGCCCTGAAACATCCTCTGACCCTACCACATATACACAAAGAAGCAGAGTCCCAGACCTTTGACATTTTTAATACTTTCTTCTAATTTTCAATATTTATCTTCCAAAAGAAGCAGGTAATATGAGACTGACATTTAACATCAGTCAAAATGAGCAAGTTAAAGCAAACTGGAATTGAAGCAGAAACCAATAAAAACATAAGAACTCACCAATCAAGGACCAGATAGGATTGGCTTCCTCTTCGATACTTGAAAATTGACCTACAAGATTAGCTTGAACTTCTGCATTTAAAGTGGATAAACCTCTCTCCTCCAGGGTCTTGTTAACCTCAACACAGGTCTGAACACCGATAGAATTCAGGACCTCCTTCAAGTTAAATGTCCTACACACATAAAACAAAATCCAGTCAGGGACAATTTTTGTTCTTCAGGGATTTTTTCTTTTTCTTTTGTTGTTGTTGTATTAATATACCAACTTATTTCAAATGTCTACCAATTTTCTCTTATACAGACAATAATTATCTCTACTAGAATGAGCTCAGAAAAATGGAACTCCTCCCAACCACCACTCCTCATATGCAACAGATTTTTAATACTAAAATACTCAATTGTGTAAACCAAAAATCCAAACCAAACCTGTTGCCTGTGAGTCGATTCCAACTCATAGCGACCCCATAGGACAGAGTAGAACTGCTCCATAGGGTTTCCAAGGACCACCTGGTAGATTTGAACTGCCAACCTTTTGGTTAGCAGCCGAACTCTTGACCACTATGCCACCAGGGTTTCCTCAATTGTGTAGGCAGTGTTTAAATAGAAAAACACAGGCAGAAAAGTGTGGTCCTTGAAAAACAAGTCTGCAACCCTAGTTACATATAGGGCTGTCAGAAAGGGAAAGAAAACATCTATTTACTTTTTCAAAATAAATCCCTTAGTCTGAGTGTATGTACCACAGATTTTTTTTTTTTAATGTGCTTAAAAACTGAGGTAGAATCAATTCATTTATCCATGCTTGAGAAGTAAATCTATAACACCAATCAAAAACAAGAAAGGAAGATATTCAGAAGTCAATACCACCAAGACAAATTACAAGAGTTCTTTACTGATCATGACCAAAGATAAGAAGTCATTCCCATTATTACTTTCAAGTAACTGATGAATAATCCCAAATATTTAGAGTTCAGAAAAGAGCAAAAAGTAATTATGGGTAGGTTATTTAATAGGTAAGGAAAAAGAGATAATCAGAAAAGGCATTTGTTGGGTCCACACCCTTGGGGAATGACTGACTGAAAACTGTATCTTACTGTCCAGAAAGGGTCTTTAAGGTAACTCTGAACAAAATGAGAATTAAAGGATGGGAGAAGGGCTCAATGATAGGAGGCCATGCAATGAAGTAAGTGAGAACATGAGCTGTGGTGTCACACAGACCTGGGTTCAAATCCTAGCTCTACCACTTAATTAGCTATGCAACTATATAAGCTCTTAGCATGTTGTTAGGCACATAGTAAATTTTAATCAGAAGAAGAAATAGAGAAAAAAACTGTTTATCACTACTATTATTAACAGCAATAATAAATAAATCCTTGGTATTCTGTCTTGACTGCAATTTGTTATAAATCCACACTGGACCTACAACCCAAGGGTAGATTATTTATGGCAAAATTTTTACCTCCTGACTTTTTAGCCACCTCAAGGTACCACCCTAGCTTCCTCCTGCTTTTAATCACTGATTAAGGTGTAATACTGGGAAATACATTTAGCAAAAACAAAACCTTCACTGGACAGAAAAATGATGGAACAATTTAACTTGGACAGCTTTCTTAGATAGGGCATTCTAAACCATTAGCTAGGTGGACTTTTTGGTTTAGTTTGGTTTGGTTTTGAAAGCATTGTTAAAGAAGAGCTCTTGCTCACATCCATTGTAAGTGGAAATACTACACTCACCCTGGCACTTGTCATGGAAAAGACCTCTCCCTTCCTATGAAAGGACATCTAAGCCTTCAGAGATATTAAAAGAAATTCTAGAAAAAGAAGGTGTAAGATAAGCTAAAGCACAGTCCTGAATATCAAACCCCGACGTCCAAGGTTATTCATGTTCTCTGAAACACGCTCAGGGCCTTAATACAATGCGGAGCAGAAAATGAACATTTGGAACTTACTCTTTGCTCATGCCTTCAAGTAGAACAGCTGAAATCCTTTTTAATCTGTTTGCAAGCTCAGGTAGACCTTCTGTAATAGCACCCACCATGTTGTTAGTAATTAAGGACAAGCAGGCAATAATTTTCAATTGATTCAGCTTTTCTGTCAGTTCCTGAAGACGTGCTCCATCTGTCATGAGTGTCTGGCATATTTATTTAAAATGTAAAAATAGAAAAGGAAGCTCAATACCATGAAAATGTAAGATAAAATGTTAAAGCCCAAACTCCCATTTTCATCTGATTTCAGTGTAGTCATTAAAACACATTTAACACAGACAAACCAGCTAACTCACAGTTAGAACTTACTAAAATATTGGAAAACTTGGAAGAAAAAAAACAAAACCCGCTCACCTCTGGTAATTCTTTTTTCCGATAATTCCACTGTAACAGTTTCAAGTAACTGTTATTTAGCACCAATGTAGGGCTCAGGGTTGGCTTGGAGCTACCTTCAGCCCCAGGAGTTAAAGTGGCTTCAGAAAGAGAAAGTAATTCTTCATTTATAGATTCTTTTATCCACTCTGTAGTTTGATCAAGAGCACCTAAAAGGGAAATGTCCACATATTTGTCCTGACTGATCCTTTCAATTGTTCATTCTACATGACAAGTGCTATGTTAGGTGCTGGGCACACATGAATTAAAAGACACAGCCATGCCCTTCAAGGAGTTTATCATCTGGATGGGGAAACAGAGCTGTAAACTAACAATTATAACAGAACATAGTGAATTTCAGAAGGCACAGCGGGAGTGGAGGGAGCAGAGATGGTCTGGGAAAGAGTCTAAGAGGAAGCCTCTTTAAGTGGTGCTTGAAGGTGAAATGGAGACGGGGCAAGGGCTGGCATTCCAGGCAAGGAGATTAGCCCCTACAAAGACCTGGAAAAGGGAAAGAATATGGCACATTCTGGATGCTGCAAGCAAATCCATCTTGTCTATAAAGAACTAGGGGGAAAAGGGTGGTAGCAGATGGCATTGGATGAGTAGACAGGTGCCAGCTCACAAAGGGCCTTGCGTTTTGGACAAAGAAGGTATTTAGACTACAGGCATTGATTATTAAACATTTTTGGGTCCTGGAACTCTGAGTGATTTGAACTATGCCTTCCCCAAGATGTATATGCATGCTTCCATGCACATGCCCACAAACAATTTCCATTCTATCTCACCAGATTCATGGATCCCAGGTTACAAACACCAGCTACGGGAATGGAGAACCTTTGAATAACTGTTTTTTTTTTTTTCCCACATGGAAGTGAGATGATAAGATAAATGTTAGAAAAAAAATCACTCTGAAAGGAGGACTGGATTAGGGGGAAGAGAGTTACTGCAGTAGTCCAGACAAGAGTCAACAAATGAAGGTAATGGAAGTGGGGGAGCGGGGAGAGACTGAAATTTGAAGTATTTAGGCAAAGCATCCACAGGTCTTGGTGACCACCTAGATGTGGAGAATAAGAAAAGATTCTCGGATGACTCCCAGATTTCCAACTTGGACAGTTAAATGAATGGTTGTGCCATCTACCAATATATAGAATACAGGCTAGAGTAGTCTTGAAATAAATCCTCCCCCACCATGATCTTTCTAAAGCCACCACCAATCTCAAATTGTCAAATCCAACAAATACATCTAAGTCATTCTATTTCTTGAACATCTCTGTAATACCTGACCCTCTGAGTACATCCCTTTTGAAACTCTTTTGGTTTTTGTGACTCCACTCTCTCCTAGTTTCCCTAGTCCTTACATATTGTACCTGGGTTTCTCTTCCGCCTGATAACATGTGAGACGTTGTCTCACCACCCTTGCTTCTAAGGAGCATTCTGGCTGTACTTCTTCCAAGACAGATTTGTTAGTTCTTTTGGCAGTCCATGGTATACTCAATATTCTTCGCCAACACCACAATTCAAAGGCATCAGTTCTTCTTTGGTCTTCCTTATTCATTGTCCAGCTTTTGCCATGCATATTAGGCAACTGAAAACACCATGGCTTGGGTCAGGCGCACCTTAGTCTTCAAGGTGACAGCTTTGCTTTTCAACACTTTAAATAGGTCTTTTGCAGCAGATCTTCCCAATGCAAAGAGTCTTGATTTCTTAACTGCTGCTTCCATGGGTGTTGATTGTGGATCCAAGTAAAATGAAATCCCTGACAACTTCAATCTTTTCTCCATTTATCATGATGCTGCTCACTGGTCCAGTTGTGAGGATTTTTGTTTTCTTTATGTTGAGGTGTAATCCATACTGAAGGCTGTGGTCTTTGATCTTCATCAGTAAGTGCTTCAAGTCCTCTTCACTTTCAACAAGCAAGTTGTGTCATCAGCATAACACAGGCTGTTAATAAGTCTTCCTTCAATCTTGATGCCCGGTTCTTCTTCATAGAGTCCAGCTTCTCGGATTATATGCTCAGCATACAGATTGAATAAGTATGGTAAAAAGATACAACCCTGACGTACACCTTTTCCTGATTTGTATCCCTTGTTCTGTTCCAGAGACTGCCTCTTGGTCTATGTACAGGTTCCTCATGAGTACAATTAAGTGTTCTGGAATTCCCATTCTTCGCAATGTTATCCATAATTTGTTACGATCCACACAGTGGAATGCCTTTGCATAGTCAATAAAACACAGGTAAACATCTTTCTGGTATTCTCTGCTTTCAGACAATTATTAATATTTATTTTTGTTCACAGGTATTTCCTCCACTCTTGAATAAAATGTCTCTTATATCACAAACCAAATGAAATCTGACCTACTAAAGTTTATTCCAGAAGGATTACAATTTGGAGGCAAGATTTACTAGGTTGTCTGCCTTAGGACAAAAAAGTAAAATTTTACTTTAGACTAAGTTCTGTGGTTTCTGACTAGAGACAAATTGCTTTATATACCACATTTCTTATAAAATTATGTATTTGGTAGAATTTATAAGGTGGCAATTGCCAAGAAATGCAGATTGAACACAGGTGCAGATTTTTAAAAAAGAGCCAGAGAGGGAAAAAGAGAATAGTCACAAAAAGAACAGTTCCTAGCCCCAGCACTTGAATGGCGGTGATTTATAAGTAGCTGTTTGCCACTACAGCAACACCACCCCGAGAATTTCACAACACTGATTTTCCTCGGTTGGCAAATGTTCTTAGTTTGCAGCTCTGTTTATAAAGATGTAAAAGACCTGAGGTCTTTTATTTAAAAGGCATCCAACAGAGAGAGACAGAGAAGAAATCATGGACATAATTACAATGTGGCAGTAATAAGCATTTATACTGCAAGCTTAATCATTTACAGCTGACACATTTAGGAGCCCATTTAGTTATCTTGAACAAAAGCAACACAGAGTGTGGCACAATGGTTCTCATTCCTGGCTGATTTTAGAATGACCTGGGGAGCTTAGAAAGAAAAAAATAAATGATCCTGGGCACTGCTCCTGGAGATCCTATTTAATCAGTAAGAGGCAGGGCTTGGGCATCTATGTAGTCAGAATTGAGTACTGCTGGTGAAGTAGAAAGAGCAAGAGTATAGAGTGAAACATCAGCTTTTCTTTAAGAGGATCTGCGGAAATTTCACTCCCACAAGCTAGCACACTGACTGTTCTATGTGGCTCCAAAGGCAAGGTCAACCCCACGAGGCACCTGTAACTTAGGTTTTTCATGTAGACAGTAATAAGAACCTCTTCATTTGCTCATTTATTCAACAATAACGACCAAACACCTACTATGTACCAGGTACTGTACCAAGTGCTAGGGATTCACAGAAGAATAAACAAGGTCCCTGAACTTAAGAAGCTCCTAGTCTAGCAGCGGAGGGAAACAAAAGAACAACCAACAGCATTATAGAATGAGAGATGTATTTACCTAAGAATTTCCCAGGAGCAGTGGAGGCCAAGAGTGCTGCCCCCTACTTCCCTTCCCACCACCAATGCATGTTCCTGATTTCCTATTAGGTGAGGCTTGGCCCAATGCCCCTGAAACTACCTCTGGTTCTCTAAATCCACATCCTGCCAGTCTTAGTGTTGCAGCTCAAATCCCTCTTCCTCTGGGAAGCCTTTCTTGATTTTATGGACCCATCCTGATCCCTCCCTTCTCAGAACACTTACCTTTGAACTTTTGATCTGGTGGTGATTCCTTCCATACTCCTGACCCAAAAATCAGTTTTCCTCTCTCTTTTTTTAATATTGTCCTTAAACATTTCATGTGCCTTCATCTTATTTTTATCTCACTTGTAAGATTGCTGGGAGCCCAAACTATGATCTTTATTTTTTATTTCTCTTTCTCTTGACTTAGCTCATAGCACAGCTTGATGGGTGTGTGAATGTGTGGCTTTGTCCTTACAAAACTGTTTTGCTTTGGAAATTAACCAAATGTTTTTCCAATGGTACTTGTCACATAGTAGGTGCTCAAAAGTCTTTGCTCTCTATATCTGGCAGGAGAGACCTGGAAGGGGACACACAGTAGAAGTCATAGGGGGAGAATGTTAAATGTTTGACCATTATACATGAGGTTAGCTTTGGATTCTCAAAGATGTCCTTTATGAAGTTTGAGGAAATTTCCTTCTATTTCTAGTTTGATGAGAGCTTTTATCATGTAAAATTTGACCAAATTTTTTTTTCTGCATCTACTGAAGTATCAACTAAAGTAACTGTATGATTTTTCTCCGTTACTGTTAATGTGGCGAATTACATCGACTGATTTCAAATATTAAACCAACCTTGCAAAAAGAGGATAAGCTCCACTTGGTCATGGTGTATTATCTTTATCTTATTGTTTTGCTAATACTTTAAGATTTTTTGCATCTACAATCATGAAAGATAACATCCTGTAATTTTCTTTTTTCTTAATTCTTTTGCTGGTTTTAATATCAAGGCAAAGTTGGCCTCATAAAATGAGTTGGGAAGAGTTTCCTCCTTTACTTTCCGCAAGAGTTTGTGAAAAACACCCTGATCTTTTAATTTGATTTGCATGCACTGTGTACATTTTTCTGGATGACAATGGAGAAGGAGAGAGAGCTGCAGGCATATGGGACCAAGTCAATGTCAGTTGGAAAGTAACTATTTGAGCCAATCCCCAAGCCCCATGTTTCCTCCTGGTATGGTGAATTAAATTGGAGATGCTTTATCCTCTTCTGCTCAGTCACAGCAGAGATTTCTACTCTGTGTTCCCTAACAGAAGTCACGTACAGAGAGCAGAGGCTTCTTGAACACCCACTACGTGACAGGTACCTTTGGAAAAACATTTAATTTCCAAAGCATAATGGCAGTTCACCTGTGTAAGAAAAATCACCACAAATCAAAATTTCAAAGTTAGGTTTTTTGAGAAGGGAGGGATCAGTATGGGTTAATATAATTATAAAATGCTTCCTAGAGGAATAGGAATTTGAGCTGAGCCACTAAGGACCACCAAGATTTGGGTTTAGAGAACTAGAGGAATTTTTAAGGGGTTGGGCCAAGTCTCACTGTAGTAATGGTTGTACTGTAGGTCCTAGCCAGTACAATTAGGCATGAAAAAGAAATAAAAGCATACAGATCACAAAGAAATAAAACTGTCTTTACTTACAGCCAAAATGATCATACAGAGAATCCTAAGGAATCCTCCAAAAAGCTACTACAATTAATAAGTGAATTTAGCAAGGTTGCAGGATACAAGGCCAGTACTCAAAAATTAATTATATTTCTCTATACTCATTGCCATCAAGTCGATTCTGACTCATAGTGACCCTATAGAACAGAAAAACTGCCACAGAGGGTTCCAAGGAGCGGCTGGTGGATTTGAACTGCTAACCTTTTGGTTAACAGCTGTAGCTCTTAACCACCATGCCACCATATACTAGAATATAAATATTTTACAAAGTACCATATATAGTAATATCAAAACAACATAATACATGGGGATAAATTTAACAAAATTTAACAAGTCCTTTACTCTAAAAACTACAAAACATTGCTGAGATAAATTAAAGAAGATTTAAATGGAGAGAGAGAGCAAGTTCATAGATTAGAAGAGTCAATATTATTAAAATGTCTATTTGACATAATCCCAAACAAAATTCCAGGAAGCTTTTTTATAGAAACTTATAAGCTAATTTTAAAATTTATACAAAAAATTCAAAGGACCTAAAATAGGCACAACAATTTTGAAAAAGAAGAACAAAGTTAGAGGACTAATTTCGACACTTAGTTCGCTTCAGTAATCAAGACAGTGTGGTAGACAGACATATAGATTATAAAACAGAAAAAAGAGTCCAATAAAAAGGAATGAAGTACTGATACATGCATGCTACAACATGCATGAACCTTGAAAACATCATGCTAAGTGAAAGAAACCAGACAGAAAAGGCCACATATTGTATGATTCCACTTATTTGGGATATTTAGAAAAGGCAAATCCATAGAAACAGAAATAGGTTAGTAGTTACCAGAGGATGAGGGAAATGGGAATGGGGAATGACTGCTAATAGGTATTGGGTTTCTTTTTGGGGTGATGAAAATGTTCTTGAATTAGATATTGGTGACAGTTGCACAACCTTGTGAATATGCTAAGAACCACTGAAATTGTACAAGTTATTATGAATTTTATGGTATGTGAATTATATCTTAATAAAAGACAATTTAAAAAAAATGGATACAGAAATAGACCCACGTACAATTGGTAAATTAATTTTCAACAAGGTGGTGAATCAATTCAACAGAGACAACAATATGCTTTTCCAACAAATGGTGCTGGATATACATATGGAAAAATAGGAATCTTGACCCCTATCTCATACCATACATAAAAATTACCTCAAAATGGATCATAGACTAAATGTAATAATTAGAATTATAAAACTTCTAGAAGAAAACAGAAAAAAAATATGACTTTGGGTATGAAAAGATTTTGTACGCAGGTCACAAAAAGTATAAACCACAAAAGAAAATAATTTCAGTATTCTGGAAAATGAATACTGCAAGTACCCCAATATAGACCAAAACCAGTAACCAGTTCTATTGAGTGGACTTTGAGTACAACTGTGTTCCACAGAGTTTTCAATGGCTGATTTTTGGGAAGTAGATCGACAGGACTTTCTTCCTAACAGCCTCTGAGTGGACTCAAAACCTCCAACCTCTCAGTAAGCAACTAAGCACTTAAACATATGCACAACCCAGGGACTCCTAATACAGAACAAGTACCCCAATTTTCAGTTAGAAGAATGTAGTTCCTTTATCTATGAATGACACTTGTTCGTTTCTGCCTACTAACACCTCATCCTACTTCTTTTGGTACTGATTCTGAGAAACTATTTCTCCCTCATTGCATGTTTTCTTTTGTGAGTATCAACTAAGAAGCCCTACCTCCCTTTCCGTACTTTGGATATGGTATCAAGAGGGACCAGTCCCTGGAGAAGGACATCCTGCTTGGTAAAGTAGAGGGTCAGTGAAAACGAGGAAGGCCCTCAACGAGACGGACTGACACAGTGGCTGCAACAATGGGCTCAAGCATAACAATGATTATGAGGATGGCGCAGGACCAGGCAGTGTTTCGCTCTGTTGTGTGCAGGGTCGATATGGCACCTAACAACAACACAATCCCCCTTAACAGGCGATGGCCTTGCTGAGTCATATGAGCATCGGACTCTTTTCTAGGACTCTCAGAGGTGACCACAGCATCCAACGAAGGCCTATGTTTGAAGTACAAATTAATCATCCTGACAATGGAGCCTACAAGCTCTCCCTTGGTTTTTCCTGCCCAGATACCTGACAGTCTCCTGGTTTCTAGTCTTGCTAAGGATCAAGTGTTTTAGCTTTTCCTTCAATTCTGTGAACCACCTCCAACCTTCCATTCACTTCCTGTTATGCTAACTCAGCCAGAGTTGGTTTCTGTCTCTTGCCATATAACCCAGTGGACCTGGACTTGGATTTGGGAGATCTTGCTTCCAGTACTAGCTCCACAACTTATTAGTGGTGTGACTCTGACTTTGGGCAGGTCACTGCTCAGCATTAGTTTGCTCTCCTTTAAAATGTTCCATAAATATTTTCTAAATGCCTTATGTGTGAGGCACAATCATAATGTAGTTTGGTTTATTTTTGAAAAAGATATTTAGGTCCTACAGGACTGTTGAAAGAATCACATGAAATGAAGTTCATAAAAATATTTTCTCAGATAATAAGATATTATTATGTAAATAAATAAACTCTTTTCTGACTGGGTATCTTAAAAATTACTTATGGTCTGGTCCCCCAGGGGTAATCTGTTACTCTTTCCATAGGTAATTTCTAATGTGGTTACCTTGTTGATGCTTGGTACACACACCCAAACATTGCCTAAGGCTTTCTGGGTGTATTTTAAATAAGTCGATTATATCAAATCTTTCCTTAGGCAAAAGAAAATCTTTCCCTGGAGTCAAATCAGAAATCACAAGTACTCCTCTACATTAATCTCCCAAGAATTATTTCATAAAAATCATACACACACAAAAATCCAACAATACTTCTTCTGTGTGAGTCTGTGAGGCTCTTATTTTGACATGGGGGTGCAGTGGCCGACTTTTGGCAGGGTGACTCAAGGATATAATTAACTGCTAGCATACACTCCATTTCCTGGACTCTTGATTTCCCTGGGAACATATTTAGAGCTGGGCAATTGTGACACATATGCACAGCTGGATTTATTTTATTCTGAAACCTCTGGAAATATCCAAGTCAATGTGATAGCTACAAATGGATTACAAGTCACTAAACCTTGGCTGGAAGGAGAAAAATAAATAATTTGAGATGAATAAAATTGTAATTCAACCTTGTACTTAGAAATTTGCTCAAGATTCCAAGATATCTTGATTCAAGATACGGACACACGTACAAACGTGTATACACACACTTAGACATACACAGAGGCACACAAATGAAACCAATCACTAAGTCTCAGTAAGCGTTGTTCAGAACATAGTTACTATAATTCAGATTCAGTTTCTATAAAGGGTTCTACTTCCCTTAGTCCTTTTCCCTTTGCAGCTAAAACAATACAGCCCTTGAAGTCACAGAATTTTTGTTATAGGAGGATCCTTAGAAGTCATGTAGTCACAGTTCCCTCTGCAATATCCATAAATACATAGATGGCTCCAAAATTTATATCTTCAATTCCTATCATTCCCCTTCACTCAGTTTCTTTGCTCTAACTGCCTACTTGACATCTCCATGTTGATGTCAAACAAGGATCTTAAAGTTCGTACATCCTAAGATGAATACTTGATTCCAATTTATCATCCCCAAAACTGTGGTCCCCTACTCTCTCCCATCTCACTAAAAGGCACTACCGTTCATTCCCCAAGTTGCTCAGGCCCAAAATCTTAGTCATCCTCACTTCCTCTCTTTCTCTGCTTATTCGACCTGCTACAAATCTTGTTAATCTGTCTTCAGAATACATCCAGAATCTGACCACTTCTCACTACTTCCACCACAATTACCTGGACAAAGCCACCATCATTTCTTGCCTGAGCAACCACAATATCACCTAATTGGCCTCCTTGCTTCCCTGTTTGTCCCATACAATCTAATCTCTACCCAGGATCCAGATTATTCCTTAAAAACAAAAATCAGATGTTGTTCCCCTGTTCAGAACTCTCCAGTGACTCCCCATCACATTCAGAATGAAATCTAAATTCCTCTCATTTACTAACAAGGCTCTCCTGCCCTGCCTGTGGCCACCTCTTCGTCTCATCTCCTACCACTGGTCCCTTGCTTCCTCTACTCCAGTCACACTTCCTTGTGTTCTTCAAACATCTCAAGCAAGTTTCTGCTTCAGGGCCTTTGTACTTACCACAGTCTCTGGCTGGAATGTGCTTGCCCCAGATCTTTGCATGCCCCTTCCCTCATTTCTTTGAGAACTCTGCTCAAACTTACTTACTAGAGAGTTCACAGTCCACTCCACTGAAGAAAGCACAGCTCCCCACACCATCCCATCACTGTCTGTCCCTTTATCCTATTGTTCCTCACAACACTTAATATATGTTTATTTGTCATGCCTACTAGAATGTCAGCTCCATGGAAACCACAACTTTATTCTGTTTTGTTCACTGCAGCACCCACAGCCTTAAACAGTATCTGGCACACAGCAGGTACTCAATAAATTTTTTTTAAATGAATGAAGACATGAATAGTGCATATTATAGTTCCTGGCACATAGTAAGCCACTGTAAGTTTGTGATGTCAATTTCAGAAGGTAAAACAAAATTAATAGAAAGATCAAAATTCTTTAGTGACATTACTTAAGATGTCAAAAATAAAAACTTTATATTTTAATCAATTTCAATATAAATGCAGTTATTTTGTACTTACTTGGAGTTTCTTCTAAAATTTCCTGGAATTTGGTTCTCTCATAATCCACCAACTGGCGTTGAAGGTGTGGTCTTAGACTCCTAATTGTAAAATTGACCATGTCCATTCTCATGAGGTCCAAGACATGGAATATTTGTCTAAAAATTTTAGAATTAAAATAGTTAAAGAGATGATTAAAGTAAGCTGAAATTCATTAACCATTGTATGTTATACCCAGGAAAAGACAAACATCCTTCAAAACAGTTTTGAAATTCCAATTGCCATTTGGCAAGACTACTTTTCATAGAAAATCATACCCATGCATTCCCAATGTATTCATCCACAGATCTCAAGAGTGTTTACTTTAGCAGCTATAATACAGCCAGCTGATCCATTACATCCAGTCATAAAATCGTAGAAAGACACTAAGAAGCATACACAATGCATCTTAACATGGAAACAAGAACAATTCAAGAAAGAATTTTTATTTGAAAGCCCCTGAAATTTTCCTGAACACAGAATATATGGTTTCTATTACTAAGGGAATAAAAAAAAGGAAAGAATGGGCAGTGAGGTGCAGAGGAAAAAAATACTTCATTTTAGAGTTGGGCAGCCCTGTGCTCAAATCCAGGTTTGCAAAAGACCAGCTCTGTGGCCATGCACAAATTATGCAATCTCACTGAGCCTCAGTTTCCTCATCTGTGAAAGGGCAGGACGACATCAACCTTGGAAAGATGTTGTGAAGAGTCAATGAGATAATAAACATAAAATGCAGGGACAGTGGTAACCAGTTGGTGCCCAATAAATGAGTAAGATGAACACCACAGATTTGATATCATACACAGGTAATATGATAACTTAAAGCAAGGATTCTTCATTTGATGAATCACAATCCACCAGAGCTGAGCACAATTCTAAGGATACAGTAAAGCCCATTTTATAGACAGGGAAAGTGTGACTTGGAGAGGTTATCGACTTGCCCGAAGTCACATGCAGACCAGTTTTCTTCTGCTACTTCTCTAAAACTATTATATAAACCTCTATTCTCAATTGACCATCTTCACACAAAAAGGAGAGGAAAAAAAATCCTCCCAATGGCAAAAACTGCTGCAGCCTTCTCTTTCCTCTGGGATCACAAGGATGTTACTGCCTACATGAACAGATCATATCCTCGCGATTTTAACATACACGTCACTTCTTCAGAGAAGCTGCACGAGAGATGGCTAGCTGACCACCAAAGATTCGTGGCTGGTAAAGGTGTTTCCAGACAGCAACTACATTTCCCAGTCTGCTTCAATCTGGGTGGGACCATGTGACCAGTTACAGTCAATGGAATATGTCATTTCTGGGCTGAAATGATTAAACATCCAGGTATGTGCTCCCCATGGTCTCTTTCCCATTCACCAGCTGAACGGAGAGGACACCAAAGACCTGGGCAAGGGTGTAGCCAAAGATTGAAGGGGTCTGGGTCTATAAATGTCACATGGAAGCTGTCTGAGCAAGAACTCCTGAATTGGATGGTGGCATGAGTGAGAAACAAACTGTTATTGGTTAAGTCACTGAGAATTCAGGGTTTATGTATTATAGCAGCTACCATTACCCTAACTGATAAAGAAGGCTTCCCAGATTCTTGACTAGATTAGGTCACTCTGCTGAAAGCTCTGTTAATACCCCCTACTACCCCTTTTACCAGGAGCCCTGGTGGTGCAACAGTTAAGTGCTTGGCTGATAACTAAAAGGTTGGCAGTTTGAACCTACCCAGCTCTCTGCTGGAGAAAGACCTGGCCATCTGCTCCTGTAAAGACTATAGTTCTACTCTGTCACATGAGTTAAAATCAACTTGAAGGCACCCAACAACACCCCTTCCACGGCACTCATCACAACTGTAATTAGTTGTTCAAGGTCTGTCTTCCCATTAGACTGTAAACTCCCTGGGGTCAGAGAGTCTATCTGACTTTTTAATCAATGTATCCCCAAGGCCCAGCACATGCCAACTGAACCTTGTCAGCACATTCTACTTGAAAACTCTATGTACACAGCAAATGGTTCACTTACTGCTTGCTTATTTGGTTTTGTTCTAGAGTCAAGGACTCCTTTGGGAGACCAGTATTTTTCTGCATTCCCCAACATCTACACTTCCTGTTTGAACGAACTCAAAGAAACTCTAAGAAAATGCAAGCAGTGAAGTGCTCACCTCAGCACCTCCACAATGTTGCTGGTAGCCTTCAACTCTCTGATATCATCGTCTCGCACGGGAGCACACAGCTTTCCCATCGTACTGATGACATAATTGGCCAGGCCTTGGATGTCAACAGCACTGTGCTCAGCCTGCTGTCTAATGAGGTCTGTGTCCAAAACTTCACAGATCTGGTTGCGAAGCCGGTTGCCACCAGGAGTCAGAAAAGAGAGAAGAATCTGCACAGGGAAAAGGAAAAGAAAATTAACAGCATCATCGCATGAACAAAGGTTGTCACTTGTCCCTTCAGTGTCTAGATGACTAAGCTCCTTGTCCATATTTTAGAGCTCTGTGGATACCACAGAGGTTTGCACTGACTGGATTGTAGATCAAAGGAGGAGTCCACAGAGTTTTGACTCTAAAAAGAAAGCTCTATCTCTTGAATTAAAGTGCCTCCCCATGGGAAGTTCCTAATATAGTCAGGATGAAAACAACTGGCAAGGAAGTAATATTACTGAAAGCACTATAGATAAACAGCGTAGAGAAGAAAGAGCAAGCTGTAGACCATGGCTCCAAAAGATCCTTTTAGAGAAGAGCAAAGGGAGAAATACCATGGGCTCCATTAGTATACTATATTTTACACATAAAGTGTTTATTATACATTTTGTGAGTAACCTATTCATTGAGTATTCACTGTACAATACACACAGATGTGATCAGGAGCATGGGAACATGGGTTCTGAGCCAGAGTGCCTCCATTTCCTCTCTGCCTCTTATAGCTGTGTGACCCCGGACAAGTCAGGGAACTTAGTTTCTTCATATAAAAGAATAATAAGAGTAACTACAGGGTTATTTATCCTTAATGGCAAGGATAAATGAATAACATAGTGCTTGGCATAGAACAAATATCCTGTAAAGGTTAGCTAATATTATAACGGTCACCTCATTTAATTCTTACAACTACCTGTAAATACTTTTATCCCATGTTATAGGGGAGTAAACTGAGGCTTGAAAAGGGAGAGCCTGTAACTGAACCAGGTGGATCTAATCTCAGAGTCCATTCTCTTAACCTCTACTTTATGCTCTAAGCATCTCCCTGAGCTCCTCCTCTGCACCCATCTCCCAGCCTCCGCCCTGTTCCAGGAGGTGCAGGGAAAACTCTTCCACTGGCTGAACTTGCTCAGTTTTTCACAGAGTTTCCAATACTAAAGGACATGAAAACAGCCCCTGGGGTGAGGGTGGTGGGGAATGACTTAATACTGTCGACATCAACTAACCTCTCTGATTTCTTCAAACAGTTTAATGGCATGTTCATACTCAGGCGGTTCTGCATTTAGTTCTGATTCCAAGACGTCCCAGAAGGCCTGGTGAACGATGTGCTTCACTCGCCCGGCCAAGCTACGGGAATGAAACGGATTGTTTTTTAAAATAAACGTTATGCTTCCTGATTATAAAAGAAATATGCTCACTGTAGAAATCTTAGAAAATGTAGAAAAACAGAGAATAAATTGACCATAATCCCATTATTTACCCTTTGATATAGTTCCCTTGTTCACTGCTTTAATATAGTTAAGAGTACCCGACATGTACAATAGTATATACTTTTTTCACTTGATATTCTGCCCTAATCATTTCCCCTAGATATTAAAAAGCCTTCCTTGCTAAAGCTTTCAAAAACTGAATAAGATTGTGTCCTAAGGAGACACAATAATTTACCTAGCCACTCTTCTACGCAGATCTTTAGACTGACTCAAGACTGTCGCAACTGAACCTTTAAGAGAGAGTAAAATTGCTCTTTCCTCAACAGCTGAAATTTTCTGGCACAGAATAGAACACACTGGCCACAAGGAGTCACACATTTGGATGCCTGCCAACTTCAGCTTAGCTGTCCAATTTAAAGTTAGCAAAGCCAAACTGCTGAAATAGGCGCATTCCTTGGAAAAGCTCACAATAGAATAAATAGGTGGTCACCTTGCTTCACCCCTTACATCAATGTCTCCAAATATGTGCACATTAAAATAAACATTCCTACTGAACTCCTACATCATCTTGCCACAGCTTTGAGTAAAGCACATATTCCCCTGCACTGTCATTACTTACTTTCCCCCACCGGGCTCCACATCTCTCCTGGTCAGGGGCCATAGCTCCTCCTAGGTATCTGCCGTTGTGCCTAGCACAGTGCCTGGCATACAGTGAGTGTTCAACGAATGCATGGTGAATGAATTAATGATTTGATTGTTGAAGCATACCTCTAAATTCTTTATTTTTAAAGTATAGATAGTTAAGTATAAAATAAGGCTATTAGAGAAGAAAATTAACTTTTTGAGGAGTGTAAGTTAAAATTGTTTCCATAACTGAAAATACTATATTTTACTCAGCAACTTAAAATGTTAAAACTTATTCTAGTTGCCTGAGAAGATTTGTTCAGCACACATGCCATTTCCAATGTTTGAGACTCTCTTGAGCAACTACAGAACAATTAGAAAAGCAAACACTGCTGGGATGGACCTTGGCTCTTGACTTTTCAAGCCTCATGTATTTGGTTTGAATGGAACAAGGGATGAGCTAACACAATTTCATAGCTCCCTAAAGGACTTCAGAGTTTAATTTTAAGTTTTCCTAAATGATGCAAGACATATTTTAGCTCTTTAATTTCCTGGGGAGGTTGGGGGTGAGATCAAGTCCATCATTTATAAGCATTCCTATTGGGTATCAGACACCTAACTTATCTGACCAAGTTCCTTCCTCAAAGAAAATATTTGGTAAAATATGAGAGTTAGCCATATTTAAAAAAAAGAAAGTCTTGGCCATTGTGGAAAGAAAGCTGGATAGCAACAGCTAATAATACACTACCTCATTTTTAGCAACAGTAATGTGTCCTAACTTGGCATTTTGTGTCCTTTTCTCACATTTTCTAGCCATGGCAGAAAAAGAAAGGAAGAAGAATTAATTTTTCCATGGTATAAAAGTACCATGTGCAATGCACTTTTATACCTGGGAGCACATTTCATGCATTTGAAGTGAGTATTTGGTCCCCATTTTATTCCTGGGGGCTGTGAGGCTCAGACAAGGCCTCAGCAGAGCCACGACTCAGTTCCCAGGGTGTGCCTGATTCTAAAAACCTTTACTATGACCTATACTAGCAACTTTTGAATTTACAGTACAGATGTCTCAAAATTGTCTTTTTCTGTATTTCATAAAACATACTAATTTTAACTTCAAGAATTCATTTTTATTAGTCAGTCAATAAATGTTTATTGAACATCCAATGTGTGCTAGGCCCTGTTTTAGGCACTGGGGGTAATGCAGTGAAAAGAAAGTCTCTGCCCTCAAGAAGTTTATATGTTAGCAGAGATAGAAAGACAAAAACAAACAAACAAACAAACAAAAAACCTTAAAAAGAAATAAGACAATTTCAGGGCTAAGAGGAAGACCAAGTAAGGCAATATGTTACTGATGGAGAGGGTGCTGATGTAGTTGGGTGGCTGAAGAAAGCCTCTCTAAGGTTTTGAGTTGAGACTTGAATGGAGAGAAGAAAGCAGCCACGTGAAGACCTAGGGGAAGAACATTCAAAGAAAAGAGAAGAAGGGCAAAGTCCCTGAGGCAGGATCTAGCTTGGTGCACTCCAACATCAGCAAGGAAGCCAGTGTGGCTGAAGCATAGCAAGTAGGAGGGAAAGAAGTAAGAGGCAGGGATAGGGAGTAGGGCCTTGCAGGCCATAACGAAGAGTCTGGATTTTTATTTTAATTGTAACAGAGAACGATTGAATGATTTCAAACAAAGAAATAATCTGATCCAATTTGGAAAGATCATTCTGGCTACCGTGTGAAAGTGGAGGATGGATCATGGGGAGATAAGAATGGAGACCGGTTAGGACTGAAACAGTCTAGGTCAGAGATGGTGGTGGTCTAGTCCAGGGGTGAGCAATTGAGCTGGTGTGAAGGACTGGAGTTTGGTGAAATGCAGTTACCATCAAAAACCAAACAGATACACTTACTTTAGTTAGTAATCTTAAAAAATATTAATGACGATTATGAACAACATCCCTAGCAGGACAGGATTATAATTCACATTTTAAAAGAAAGAAAATTATTATGTGTACTTACTTTCCTGATTTAAAACAAACAAAAATGTTCTAAAAGGGATCAAATATTGTAGTTTGTCTTAATTCATAGAGAGAACACCTCAGGATTTATAAACGGCACTGTGAGACTAAAGATTCCATGCCATTATTCATGAGCTGACTTTGCCCCTACCAAAGATTTATCTGTAGTAATAGCCTCAAGCCTTTGCTTTTCTTTGTTCCAGGGGATTTGTGAGCCACTAAAGCTAGGAGCCCTGATGGCACAGTGGTTAAGTGTTCAGCTGCTAACCAAAAGGTCAGCAATTTGAACCCACCAGCTGCTCCGTGGGAAAAAGATGTGGCAGTCTGCTTCGGTAAAGATGTACGGAACCCTATGGGGCAGTTCTACTCTATGAGTCTGCATTGGCTTGACAGCAAAAGGTAAAGCCAGAGAGGTCAAGATACACAATAAGGATGTGGCTCTAAGGAGTGGTCCTTTGGGGGTGAGGTTAACCAGGAGGTGGCTACGCAGTAGTGACTCCTACTTCCACAGGATTCTGGATCACTCATTCTTAGCACTTTCGCAGTTCAGTTGTACTTATTCATCACAATCTGAACACCAGATTTTAATAAATCAATCTGCAAATGTTTCTTGAGGACATGCCACATGCCAGCAATATGGTAGGCAATATGGACCGAGTAGCAAATAATACATAGTTCTTCCCTTAGTGGTGCTTTTGATCAAGTGAGGAGGATAGATATTGAGCATAAAATTATAAAACATCTTACCAAAGGGGAGGGAAAGCAGACTCTAGGAGTCTTTAACAAAGGGATTTCATGTATCTAGGAGCTCTGAGTGGTGCAAATGGTTAAATGCTTGACTGCTAGCTGAAAGGTTGAGGGTTTGAACCTGCCCAGTGGTGCCTTGGGAGACAGGCCTGGTGATCTGCTTTCAAAAGGTCACAGCCTTGAAAACCCTATGAAGCAGTCCTATACTGCACACATGGCGTTGCCATGAGTTGGAATCGACTCGAGGGCAGACAACATCATCACAAGTTGGTTCAGTGAAGTCCCTGGGTGGTGCAAATGGTTAACATGCTCAGCTGCTAACCAAAAGGTTGGCGGTTCAACTTCACCCAGAGGTGCCTCAGAAGAAAGTTCTGGAAATCTACTTCTGAAAAATCAGCCACTGAAAATTCTGTGGAGCACTGTTCTACTCTGACACACATGGGGTCGTCATGAATTGGAGTCAATTTGACAACAACTGGTTTGTTTTGTTTTGTTTTCAGCGGGTTCAGTAAGGTCTGGAAAAGCTTCCTCTAGTAAGTAGCATTCAAACTGAATTCTAATGATTATGGGTAACATGTACCCTAGAAGTTTTTTTTTTTTTTAATTAAGTATAAGACCTTGTTAGAGAACTAAATAATGTTTACCCCACGTGGATATTATACAAGAACTTTGAGGAATCAGTGTGAATACGTGTGGGAGACACACACAGACATACACTGAATCTTCAGCACCGTGTTATGCACAACAGACACCTCCAGGTTACCTGTTCTCAGGGAGGGCATCTTGTTTCAATTGAAAGTTCTCATTTACAGCAATTTCGTGAGCAAGAGTCATGTTTGATAAGTTCCTTGCTGTAGCCATCACTTCATCAAATGTTACAACCCTGGGAGGACTTGTTGCTGAAAGAAAAACAAAAGCCAGTTAATGTTGTAAAAGAGAAGATGTCATCCAATGAGGCCTCCTGATGCAGACAGGGTTAAGTTCCTCAATGGACATTTTCTAAGTTTTACAAGTACAGAGAATATGTATTAAAACAGATGGATTCCCCTATTTAAGAAACACTTCAAAAATTTTAAAACCCCTTTGATAGTTTCAGTTACTATATTTGATAATAAATTCTCAAATGTTTCTGAGACAATCTTATTAATACAGGCCTATTATGTTACAGATTTTCTCTCCTTATTTTTTAAAGTTTCTAGTCATCGCCACATTTGTTACACATACTAGACAGGCAATGGATAAGATTACTTTTATTCTGTAATTCAGAATTCTCATTAATTTATGCAGACTCATTAATTTCTGCAAAATAATTGATTTTAAAAAATTATAATTTCTAAAAGTATAAGCAATATAGTATAATGCTTAGTTTCAATTTCTAGTTTTGCCAATTGGTAGTTACCACTTGACTTCACTGAGGCATAGCTTACCTCCTCCTCAAAGGGTTGGCACAGTGATTAAATGACATAATTCAAAGAAAAACACAGTAAGAATTCAATAAATGTAGATCATTAAAGTAAAATAAAATCAGAGAAACTGGATAATCTACTTTTCAGTGGCAAGTAACAAAGAATTCTAGTTATTTCCAAAGAATATTCTAAAAAATTATTCTAATAAATCATGTCTTTTTGAAATCACTGTTGGAACTCTTAGCTTCTGTTAATTAAAAATTATGACCTCAAACAACAGCACTGACTAGCAATACTTTGCTACCTAAAAAAAATAAATGAATATAAAGCAAAAAAAAAGAAAGGGAGTGATACACAGAATCAGTAAAACCCTTCTTCCGGAAGCTAAGGTACTGTTGCCAGACGCATGAACCCCATCTAAAGTCCGGAGTGAGGAAAGGCACAGGAAACCTGAAGTGGCTGCTGAAAAATTTTTTTGCCAACTTTCTGCCCCAATAAGATTCTTCTTACAAATGTTTGTGCCCTTGGTCCAATATCCAATTACATCCAAAGGAATTCCCAGAAACACTTTATGCAGCAAGATGTTCATAAAGTAGTATTTACAATGCAAAAAAATTGGAAACTAGTTAAATGCTCCGTGATAAATCAATGGTTAAGTAAATTTATGGTCTCTTCACCTGATGAAATAGTGCTGTGCTACTACAGTAGCACTGCTGTCAAACTGGCCCCCAACTCATGGCGACTCTACGTACAACAGAAGGAAACAACTGCCCAACCATGGGCCATCGTCGTGATTGGTTATGGATCGGATCACTGTTATCTCTAGGGTTTTCACTGGTTGCTCTTTGGAAGTAGATCGCCTGGCCTTTCTTCCTAATCCGTCTTAGTCTGGAGGCTCTGCTGACCCTTGTTCAGCAAGATAGCAATACACAAGTCTCAGCTGACAGACAGGTGGCGGCTGTGTACGAGGTACACTGGCTGGGAATCGAACTGGGTCTCCCACATGGAAGGGAGACTTCTACCACTGAACGACCACTGCCTTCTGATGAAGCAGTGCATAGTCATAAAAATATCTATCAGTATATGTTTTAGTTATAATACTAAATAAAAAGAACCTAAATATATATACACATATGGATAATGGTAAAACCGCAGTAAAAACAGGATGAAGACATGAATATCGCCGGTTGCCTTTGGGTGATGTTATAGGCAGTATTTTCTTTTCTCTATGCTTACGTCTCTCCAAATCTTCTTTAATGAGATGTATAAATTGAAAATAGATACAAATGAACAAAGTTTTTTTAAGTGGGCATTTGATCATGTTAAACATTAGTTTCTTCTTTCTGCATTTGCTTTGTCAGCTTACGGTATTATATTTCTTATACAAAATGCCAATGAAAAAGCTAAAAAACAAATCGACTTTACACATCTCTAGTTTCCACACACAAAAAAGGAAAATCATGTCTCCCTTAGCCAAGGCCACTCTTTTAACTCTTTCTCACTTCCCTAGAGTAGTTACTCTTGTTGTGGGCACATTTCAGGGGTGATTTGCACAACAATTTTTGAAATCAGCAGGAAACCCTTTAGATTATTTCACTTCCTGCCCGACCCTTGAATCGGGGCAAGTTTACTTCATTGTAATCCAGAAATAACCAGAAAAGATCAACTTGAATTTATCCTTTGGGAAGGGAATAAGTAGTGACCTCAAGAAGGAGTTATTTTCTACCACTTGGGAGAGAAAATGGGTGAGGTTGGGGGGCCTGATTTATAGACAAACCGAAGTAGGTTAGAGACAGTGAGCAAAATAAAAATCAGCAGGTTATAAACTTTAGTAGCTGTATATTCCTGAGAACATATACAAAACAGCTGCAGTGCCTCTGCAGTGGTGTTCTGAAACATCTAGAAAGGAGGAGAAATTTGTGCTTTGCTGTCTGTCACTCATTTCTGAGTTTTAAAATCCAACAGCTTCTAGCAGCCCCATCACCCCAGCCCCCGCACCCCCAACGGCTTACAAGCAGGAGAGTTGGATTTGCTGGAGGAGTCACTTGTAAAGCTCTGCCTGGAGCACTCATAGTCACTGAGTGAAGCCATGCTTTCAGAAAACTGGGAAGAGTCTGAATCGCTTGGCTGGTCCTCTCCCACACACTGCTTCTCGCCATTGAAGGGCATTCTGTTTCACCTGAATGTGGACAAGGAGAGAGCACCTGCACAGACAAATGGACGCTGTGTGAACATTCTGTGGTACACCCACTGGTGACGCAGACCCCATGTCACAGCATTGGAAAAGCCTCCAGAAAAGTACCTGCTCCTTCCCCCAGGACCCCAGCCAGGCTGTCACTAGGCCTTCAAGAATGCCTTCCAGAAAAGAGATTTCCCAACCATAGGTTCACACACCCAGGGTGAACATGGAACAGCTCTTAGCAATAACAGATACTTAAAACACACATACACTCTTTCTCCTGTGTTGCTAAATCATGGGAAGGGAAGAGTTATAGAGTGTGGGGCTCTAGGGTCAGACTACCTGGGTTAGAATCTCATTCTGTCTTTTGTCATAGAACCTTGGAGAAGTCACTTAACCTCTTTGCTTCAGTCATTTACCTCATCAGGAAAACTGGGCTGAAAAACTAATGTCAGGGTTGTTCTAAGATTCCAAACAAACAAACAGAACAACCAAACCCACTGCCGTTGAGTTGATTCCAACTTATAGTGATCCTATAGGACAAGGCAGAACTGCCCCATAGGGTATCCAAGGCTGTAATCTTTGGAGTGCTAGTGGCACAGTGGTTAAGAGCTTGGCTGCTAACCAAAAGTTTGGCGGTTTGAATCCACCAGCTGCTCCTTGGAAATCCAATGGGGCAATTCTACTCTGTCCTATAGGGTTGCTAAGAGTTGGAATTGACACGACAGCAACTTCTTTTTTTTTTTTTTTTAAATCTTTACGGAAGCAGATTGCCACATCTTTCTCCCTCGGAGCTGCTGGTGAGTTGGAAATCCAACCTTAAGGTTAGCAAGGCCAGCGCTTAACCACTGCGCCACCAGGGCGCCTTTGTTTGAAAATGAAATAGGACAAATCATATCAAAGTGTTCAGCACAGCACTCAAATGTTAGCTATTATTATTGTTACTACTTTTTTTTTTTTTAATATTTTAAAAAGCACTCTCTTTGCGATCTCTGTGAGCCTCTTGGGGGAAGGCGAAGACTGATGAAAACATCTGGCTGACAAATCACCAGGTTCTTCCCCTCCATTTTCTGGGAACTGCCAGGATATGAAGAGCAAGGTCGGATGTTTGACAATTTACAAAGTACTCACCCCCAACACGATCAGCAGAACAGGCGCATAGGGGCCTGATTCACAGGTGGATGTAACAGACTCAGACGGACCAGGGGGAACCTACTGTGCCATAAAATGCAGAGCTTTTAAAGCTGCCAGAATGTGAAATCACAACTACGCATAGTGTGCCGGGAAATGCCTGCATGGTTTCTTTAATGATTTAGTTATCATTTACTGAGTGCCTACTATGTACAGGTACTGAGCTGAGCACTGGGGAAAGTAACAGTGAACAAAATAGACAGGGTCCTCTTCTCCTGGCTCTTGAATCCAGTTATCTAGAACTCTGTGTGCTGGATGTTAAAAAGCCAGTTGCCATGGAGTCAATGCCAACTCATGGTGACCCCACGTGTGTCAGAGCAGAATTGTGCTCTGTAGAGATTTCAATGGCTGATTTTTCAGAAGTAGGTTACCAGGTCTTGCTTCCAAGGTGCCTCTGGATGAATTTGAACCTCCAACCTTTTGGTTAGCAGGCAAGTGTGTTAACCATTTGCACCACCCAACAACTCTGTGCAGGATGTTAGCAGACATGAAAAGGGAAAACAAGGTAATGTTGAAGAAGCAGGAGAAAGGAAAACCTGAAACAATCAGTACTGAGAAGGGATCTAGCTTTTGTTGAAAGAGCACCATTTTTTATCCCTTGAGAGGTGACAGAGACAAGGATGGACCAGAGAGGGACTTACTAAGGGCCAAAGCCTCAAAGCCATTTGTACCTTGTCTCACCAAAACAACCCTCTTCAGTTCTGCCCCTTACAGAAATGGACCCCCTTGTCCAGCGTACCGCTTTTGCAAACAGAAAACCACTAACAGTGGAGCCTGTCTCTGAAGACTAAAGGGCTGATCCAGAGCCTAGGTGTGGAGTTTAGCTGCCACGAAGCTACCATGTGGAAACATTCACCTTTTGAGTATAGGCCACAAAATAGCCTTGAACCCTTGCATCTGTAGTAGTGAAATAACCTCCTCTATCCCATAATACTGTGTTTGGTGAAGTGAAGGGCCAACGAGGTGAGGGAAACACTCAGTGAGATGGATTGGCACAATAGCTGTAATGATGGATTAGAACTGCTGGTGATTGTGAGGATGACACAGGAATGGGCAACGTTTTGTTCTGTTGTAAGGTCGCCATGAGTTGGCGTTGACCAATTGGCTTCAGCATCCATCCGTCCATCCCTCCCTCCCTCCCATGAAAACTAGACTCTACTTGAGCTTTAACTCCAATCTGCTGGGAGGAAGGGGATAGAAGACACAAGCAAAAGGGCTTCTCTAACCATTTCACTTCCAAACCAAACCAAAACCCATTGCCAAAGAGTCGATTCTGACTCAAGGGACCCCATATGACACAGTAGAAATGCCCACAGGGTTTCCAAGGCTGCAGTCTTTATAGAAGCAGACTGCCACATCTCTCTCTTGTGGAGCGGCTGGCAAATTTGAACTGCTGACCTTTTGGTCAGCAGCGGAGCACTTAAGTACTGCACCTCCACAAAAAAAAAAAAAAAAAACAAACCCAAACCCGTTACTGTCAAGTTGATTCCGACTCATAGCGACCCTATTTAGGACAGAGTAGAACTGCACCATAGGGTTTCCAAAGAGCAGCTGGTGGATTCAAACTGCTGATCTTTTGGTTGGCACCCGAGCTCTTAACCGCAGTACCGCCAGGGCTCCTTATTTCACTTCCACCATGCCCAAAATCCTAAATGAAATGCTATCCTTCCCCTCTAGCTTTCTCTCACTCTGCCAACATTTTACTTCCCATTGATTGCATTTCTTGAAAATGCCACCTTCTCCAGGAAGCCCTTCTCTACCCTTCAGTCAGAGCTAATGGCATTCTTCTTTGTACCTCTGCAGCATATCTCTTGGATCCCCTCAAGAGCACTTAAGACTTCTGTACAGTTATTTTCCTCCCACGGTTACATCTAACTCTCCTTAATAAGGCAGAGACTGTGTCTTGTCCATTACCAGTGTCAAGTTCATGACAAGTACTCATATGATGTCAGCTGAATTGATATCCTTGAATCCCATCTGGCAGAGGTTCAACTGGAACATCTGCAAAAATTGCTATACTTACAAGTCTGGTATTGCCAAAGTCCAAGGCCTGGAGCAGAGAGTCTACCTCCTAAACCTACCTCTTTAGTTTAAAATTCAAAATTCCCTGGTCCTTGTCACATTCTTATTTGAATATCTTAAAGCTTGTTCCCATTTTAGCGTTTTTTCAGTCATTTTGCTGCAATGGTACGATGTATGCTCTGCTCTTAATTTCTCTCTACTACAACTGTCTCAAATAAGCAGGATCTCTGGCTGTTTTTCTGAGTAAAAGTGAATAAAAGATTTCATCCATGTGAATTTATGAACTACGTTAATAGTTATAACTGTTCATTTCATTTTTCTACTCCAGTTGAACAGCACACTTCATAGGTTCCTTAATTGTGTTTAACAACAGAAAATTTACAAGCTTCTGTAAAGACAGAAAATAACCCCAAGGGAATGTTCTTCTCCCTGAGTTTAGAAACTCTTGTTTAATTGGTAGAAGGCCTCTACATTACAACCGGGGTTTATGCATCCAAGCAGAAGCCTTTCCTTGAAGCCCAAATGCCCGTTATTACTCTAGTTAGAAATTGCCTGTTTCCTCCTATGGGAACAACAGTAATAATAACACCTAACTCACAGGGTCGGTGTGAGATTTCATTTAATTAATATACATAGAGTGCTTGGAACACTGTCTCGTGCAGAGTAAGCACGAGACAGATGTTTGCTATTATTAGTATTATTTGGTTTTTTTTTTTTTGTGGTTGTTATCATCATCATCTCAGGCATTAAAAACTCTGGAAGGAAGAACAATTTTTTTCCCAGGGTGATAAAACCATGTTCCTCAACAGATAAACAAGGCTGGTGGTTAACCTAGGACAGAGCTCTTACACTTGCTAGAAATACAAAAGTCAAAAGTAAATGGCCCATCACTGTGTACATGGTCTTCTGCAGGGTTCCTTCACATCTGCTCTTAGCTTTCTTGGTCTCAGGTTTCCATGTAAGTCATCTGGGGACAAAGCTACTTGACTCAAAAGGCAATGAAGGTAATTAGACTGCTTTTCAAACTATTTTGGAACCTCTCTTAGAACCCTGATAATGAAAGCAGCTGTTTCTTTAAGAAAGGTAATGCTTCTCATACCGACACTTAGATACACTTAACCTTCGCCATTGTAACTCACAACGAGTAGGCCAAACAACTTTTCAGAAATACCACGTCTCATCCTACCTGGAGGATATACCCATTGGTCAAAGGTAAAGGCAGACAATAACTCCAAGCAAAGGCTCCAACACTACAGTGGGTCACTAGTCAAAGAGAATGAAGTACTGTCGTGTTCACATTTTCATTGTATTGTTCCAGCATTTTACAATAATAAATACACTATTACATCATTCCTTCAGAGGCCAATGACTGGCATGCAGCAGGCACTTAAATATTTTGTTGTTGTTGTTAAGTGCTGCCGAGTTGGTTCCGACTCATAGCCACCGTATGTACAACAGAACAAAACACTGCCCGGTCCTGTGCCATCCCCACAATTGCTGCTATGTTTGAGCCCACTGTTGCAGCCACTATGTCAGTCCATCTCATTTAGGGTCCTCTGCTTTTTCACTGACCCCCTACTTCATCAAATATGATGCCTTTCTCCAAGGACCGGTCCCTCCTGATAACATGTCCAAAGTAATTGAGATGTAGTCTTGCCATCCTTGCTTCTAAGGAGCATTCTGGCTGTAGTTCTAAGACAAATTTGTTCATTGTTCAGGCAGTCCATGGAACATTCAATACTCTTCGCCAACACCATAATTCAAAGGCATCAATTCTTCTTTGGTCTTCCTCATAGTCCAGCTTTTGCATGCATATGAGGCGACTGAAAAGAACATGGCTTGGGTTAGGCGTACCTTAGTCCTCAAAGTGACATCTTCAGTTTTTAACACTTTAAAGAGGTCTTTTGCAGGAGATTTGTCCAATGCAATATGTTGTTTTTTGATTTCTTGACTGCTGCTTCCCTGGGCGTTGATTGTGGATCCAAGTAAAATGACAACTTCTATCTTTTCTCCATTTATCGTGATGTTGCTTATTGGTCCAGTTGTGAGGATTTGTGTTTTATGTTGAGGTGTAATCCATACTGAAGGCTGCGGTCTTTGATCTTCATCAGTAAGTGCTTCAAGTCCTCTTTGCTTTCGGCAAGCAAGGTTGTGTCATCTGCATATTGCAGGTTGTTAATTAATCTTCCTCCAGTCCTGATGTTGCAGTTATAGTTTGGTTTATCGGATTATTTGCTCAGCTTCCAGATTGAATAAGCATGGTAAAAGGATACAACCCTGACACACACCTAAATACTTACTGTTGAATAAATTAATGGGTGAACGAATGAATGATGTGTAAAGATAGCAGGGCAGTATGCTTACTGACATTTCAGAGAGGAGGGGATGGGTACCTGAAGGGGTTGTCCTGTGTTTCAACACAGATGACAGGAAGATAGGTTTTTAATTTGCTAGTGGTTCCCAGCCTGTGTCTAGACTACTGACTTTACTTCCTTATTTCCTTTTTGCAGTAAACACTACCTGTAAACGATCCTGAGCTGGTTCAGGATTGCAAAGATATACAGGCAATCCCCGGGTTACAAATGTCCAACTTAGTACAACCCGTAGTTACAAACCAACCCCTGTAAAGCCTATTACATTAAAAATTCTAGTTATATACAATGGTTTGTAATAACAAATGGGTGCTACTTTGCAACACACATCAAAGTAATGTTACTACTACTGTATTAACATGTTAGAGATGTTTCAGTGTATCTGGAAGTGTTTCTTTAGTTTCTTAACGCATATAGGAAGGGACACTATATACTACGTACTAAGATAAACATTTGACTGACATTAGATATGAACCGTATCTAACTGTTCCGATTTACATACAAATTTGACTTAAAGACAGACTTAGAAATGGCACTTGTTTGTAGTCTGGGGACTGCCTGTACCATTGACAATACACATGCCACTGAAGCAGTGAGAACACTGGAGCCAGGAGGCCTGGGTTCTTGATCCTGACTCTTGATATTTATTGACTGGAGACAGAGGACTTACTCCCATTTGTAAAATGGGGATAATAATAGCATCTGCCTTGTGGAACTGCCAAGGTTAACTGAAACAGTCTATGTCGTACTTAAGTACTAGGAAGTGCTTGACAGATGTCAACTATTATTTTCTTCTTATTAAAAGAAGTTCTGAATTCCAAAAATATCAATGTCATAAAAAAAGAAAAGAAACAAATGTTGATGATATGTTTCAGATTGAAAAAAAAAAAAAAAGATTAAAGAGGCTTGACAACTGAGTGTAATTGGTGATCCTGGTCTGGATCGTCTCCTGGAGGAAAAAAAAAATGATATAAAGGCATTATGGGTCATTTGTTATAATACTACAATCCACTGTCTATATTCTGATATTAAATTTACTGAGGTTGATAAAAGCACCGTGGTTATGTGCCAAACTTCCTACCTTGGAGCAAGTGCACCTACTCTCTCCTCCTGGCATGTTTCTTTCCCTGACTGCCATGTGGTCAGCTCCTTGTTGTCCTTCAGATGTGAGATTAACTGTCACAACCTCAAAGTGACCTTCCCTGATGCCCCCACTCACTCCACCTGAATTAGCCATCTAATGTTTAGAACACTGCCTGGGACAGAGCAGGAGCTCGTTGAATATCATTAAATGAATAAATAAAACTACACTCGTATTCGTAAGACAGTGTGGATTCTCCTTGTCTTTTGCTTCACTCACTTTGCTCATATTCCCATTACATAGTCATTTAAAGCACTATAGTTGTCTGCCTATCTGTCTCCCCACTAAATTCTAAGCTGTTTGTGGGAAGGAGCTGTCTCCCGTTTCCATTTCCCAATGCCTAGCTCAATACACTTCCAAGGCATCACGGCACCAATAATCCAAACTAGCAAAGACTCACAGGTCCAGAGCTTAAAGAAAATTTTACAGCATGTCTTTCCATCCTCTAAACGCTTACTGATAGCAAATAACAACAATTAGCACTGTTACTGATTGCTTACTATGACCCAGCCCCCATGCTAAGTGCTTTAAATGTTCTACCTCCTTGAATGCTCAGGATAACCATGTTAGCTAAGGTACTATTATCACCCTCATTTTAAATATAAGAATCTGAGGTTCAGAGAGGTTAAATTACTTGTCCAAGGGTTCACAGCTGAGACAGAGGCACAACTCAAATCCAGGCAGTGGATTCCTAAAGCCCATGCTTTCCCCAGGACGGCTGGCGAAACTTTGGTGTGTGGCTCATTTTTTCCACCCCACTCTACCAAATTGATCTACCCAGCACCACGTGGAAGCTGCACATGTGGCAGCAAGCTGGCCTTACCCTGGGGGTGACTGCCCTAGTGGTATACCCTGAAGGGCATCACTGAAGTCCATTGTTCAAAATAAGTGTCAACCACCCCACTAGAGTGACTGAAATTCCGTTCTCAGGAGCCATCCTTTAGGTGCTCCAGAATCCCTGGTTAAAATCCAAATATTATGAACAGGGTTAACTGCTTACAGTTAGTATGAGTCATTAACATGTTGGAGTGAATTACTCAGATTATACAGCACGGCTGTGAGGAATGGAACTAAGCCAGTTTAAAGCTAGGTGGCAGGAAAGGGAAATTACAAGAAACATCTAGTAGGCACCATCCTTCAAGACCATACCAAGGTCAGGTGCAAGGGCAGGCAATCACATACATGTGGTGAAGGGCAACGAGTTAGAGTAGTAAAAAATAGGACTGGGGCTCTGAAGGAAAAATTTCAGAGGATGAGAAAATGTTCACCTTCTGCAAAATGCTGCTTTAGAACCAGTCCCAACTAGCAACCTTAAAAAGTTATTCACACACAGCAAAGCAAAAACCAGAGCAGAGATAGGTGCCTGCACCATTCAACTAGAGAATACTGTCTTCATCAAATTAGAACCAACAAAGAACCAGATAAAAGCCAACAAGTCAGTCATTTAAAGAAATAGATGTTCACACAACACATGGCATTACAACACCAGGGAGAAGGATTTCTAGGCACTTTTCACAATTGAAGATACTTTTCTCACCCCAGCTTGTCTGTTTTAGTACCTGTGCTTCCCCATTTGGTGCCCTTCACAGACTGGCCTTGAAGCTGCTTCTACACATGACTTGGTATTCTCAGACCTGGGCCACCCAAGTCAGGCAGCCTCCACTGGCTGCCAGGGTGCTAGAGGTAAGAGGAAAAGGCAGGCAGCGAGCCTCCTAAAGTGGGAATCACAGCAGGGTGACAGGTGGAAAAGAGAAAAGTCTCCAGCTGGGTTGGAGACCATGGACCAACGTTGGGTGTGAGGGCCCCACTGGGGACAGGGGCAACTTGTCTAGTGTTTTCATGGTTAAGGTAGCAGGACAACGATTTATGATAATTCCCAAACTTCAGTAACTTGGGTACCACTCTTCGCACCTGTTTCCACAACTCTACACTTAACCTATGCTATAATTTATCAAACACTTGTATCTTAACTAGATTTTTACATTTAAATTCATTTATATTAAAAGGAAACTTTATAACATTGTGAAATCGCTTGTTTAATAAAATAGTTACATACATTATTCCTAACACTAACGGGGGTGGGGTGGGGAAAGGAGAAGCATATAACTATATTCATTCAAACTATATTCGTCCATGTACCACCTGAAATCATCTTGTACCTCCAGTGTTGCCACCAGACAAGCAGTTTTGGGAAACACAAGCCATCCCTGGGAGGACAGGGGTTCGAGCCCAGGCTTGACTGGCATTTCCCCACCTTCCCATCCTAACTGAGGGTAACAACAAGGGGACCCTCGAGGTGTCTGCACACCCCTCCCCTCCAGAAGTACCACGTTTCCTGTCAAAACAAACTCTTGGCGGAGGGGACGGCGGAGGCAGATCCGAGTGCCCTGGAAACCTCAGCAACAAACCCCAGCAACAAACCCCAAACACACGCTTCCGACCCCGCCCGACCCCCCACCCCGGGCAGGCCGGGGACACGGAGAGGGGATGCCTCCTTCCGGATCCCTGATTGTGGAAAGCCGCTCGCGGCGAGGTCCCTGGCACAAACCCAGCGAGATGTAAACAGCAGCGAAAAGGCCCCAACCCTGCCACCTCCGGAGCCCGAAGCCCGCGGCCACTCTGACACCCGCTGCGACCACTCAGCACCCGCTCCCCGCTCCCTCGCGAGACGGCAGTTCGAGGTCAAAGAAGGGAATCTGGGGGGAAGAGCAAAGAGCGGGGGCTTCATCACCCTTGGGGCCTCCCCTGTCCCAGGACGGGGTTCCGAAGTGGGACGTGGGAGGCCCTCTGGATGCCCTGCGGAGAGGTGTCCCCTCTGCCAGCGCTGAACTCTCACCTCTGAGCCAGCGACCCTCTCCCCCTGGATGGATACGCACCGGGGCCGGCGTGGAGAAAGGCTGAGGAGAAAGGCGACTGAGTGAACCGGGATGGGGGAGGGGGTCCTCTGGATGTCTCCTCACTGAGCACTACACAACCACCAGGAAAACTCACCAGCCCCACAAACCCCAGCCCTCTCAGTCCCCCCACGCGGTATTTAAAGGGCCCAGAGGGACTCTAGGGAGGCCGTCAAGGCGCTGCCATCACGCTAACCGGAGAGTGAAGTGGGCGAGACGGCGCGGCGGAGAGTGGGAATTCAGGGCACTTTAGCCGAACTTCCATAGATTTGATAGACTAAAGAAATACTTTTACTCATGTTCGGATCGCAGAGGACGAGGACAGCGTGAAGCGGAGGGAGTTTCGGATGCGAGAGGAAACGGTTCCCCCCCGCGAGCTGCGAGTGGTGCGGTCCGGGGAGTGCTATGGGCGGAGAGAGATGTGTTTACGGAACTAGGGCAGCAGCACCGCCGAGTGAGGCAGGCTCTGGGGGCGGGGCGAGGCTAGCGGCGCTAGTAGAGCGTGGAGCGAGCTATTGGGCTCCCTGGGCGACCCTGGGCAATGCTGCAAGTTCCTGGGCTGCTAGTGAAAGTGCTAGTCGCCGGACAGCCCTCATTTAGACGACGGAATCCAACGTGGTTGTCCACCATCACACCACCCATACATACAACATACCAATAACGTTGCAAGTGGGCTTTTCCACGGGCATTAGCAACCAACCGCGTCACTTAGGCTTGCTTCTACACCTCCACATAAACATGGGCCCAGATTTGCACCTGGGCGGGACGATTAGCTCCGGAGATCACACCCACCCAGGCTCTCGAGAGACGTAAACTTCACATGCGCGCAAAAGATAAAAGCGTCTTACTTCCTCTAGGGTTCTTGCCAGCATCTATCTCCCGGAGAAGTTTCAACATCGGTTAATGTAAATAACCAGTCACAGGAGTGACTCCGTGTGGTTAGGCCTACTGGTCAGCTCTGTGGGTGTGCTTCAGGGTGTTCAGAAACACGCTTCCCCCAGCCATGCACATGAAAACCAGTTTACATCAGTGAATGTATCTTCTGCGAGTTGTAAATTGGCATTATTTGGGAGATAATTTTATGCAGAAATTAAGTACTGAAGTATTTCTGTTTAGTGCTGAATCCATGTCTGGATCGTGGAGGCAAATTGGCCACCACAGTTCTGGAGAAAGACAGAAAGGCAACACCTTTAAGGAGGGTAGAAAACCAGTTATCCTAGGTGGAATAATTCAGTAGTTACAACATGGACTTGTCTTGGGTTCAAACCTTGGCTCTGACATTTACTACTCATGGGCTCTTGAGCAATTTACTTCTCTTTGTTTCCTTAAGATTTGTGAAATAGGGATAACAATGATAACTATTTCATAGGGTTATTAATGAAGATAAGTGAAAGAAAGCATGTTAAGGGCTTAGAGGTGTACACAGTAAGAACTCAATAATTGTTAATTATTGAAACTATTTGGCAAACCTCTCTAGCTGATGATCTGTATTACTTTCTATCTGTGTCTCTTTATGCCACTCTCGCCCCTCTTCTACAATACCCAACCTGCTATAAATCAAGAGATGCAGAGAAAATGCTGTTGCCACCCAGGTTCTTTCCTATCATTTGTTAAAATAAATCGTTAGAATAACAGAAGCCTCCAATTTCAAGTCTTGCCAAATAACAACCACCATCACAACAACTGCTATCACCACTGTAAAAATTGCACAATAGAAAGAATAACCAAAAATATCACCCAAACTTCTGGACACTGTGACAATGACACATTGCAGCATTGCTTCCTTTGTTAGCTCTGTAAGAACTTGTTAAGTATTGTTTAGGGTTATGGCATACCTTATGGCAGGTGATCATGAGTCAGGATAGTTGTCCAGTCTACCTGAGGGACCAGCTGCCTGGCCCTAGGCATGACACTTCCTTTTAAATGTCAAATATGTGACTCTCAAGCCACAGGAAGCAATTTTTGTCAAAGCAGGTGAGTCAAGTTTCAGGATGTGCTGGGGTGAGGTGCTTATAGCAGGGGAATTGGGGAAAGAATATTGAAGTGGAACAGGTGGAGTAACATCAGACAGCCGAGACAGGAAGAGAAAAGAGCCTGGAAGCACAGCCTTCTGTTATTTTGAAATTAAATAACTTGCTATCTGGAAACTCCAACTGCCCTCAGCCCAGCTTGTGTATAAAAGCACTTTGAAAAAATATAGTGCTTAAAAATGAGTCTTGTGTCACACCCTTGCTCCGATAGGTCAATTAACGATAGAACAGACTCCACTTTGCTCAGGTTATGTTCATAACCTTCTGAAAAAAAAGAAAAATGTCTGAAAAAGCAACCTCTTTAGCAAGTAAAATAGTAGCCTTTTTAGCTAAAAAGGATTCATTATTACACCTAATTTTTCTAACTTATCTTTTTTTGAACCACTTAGGGAACTCATGGTAATGCAATTTGTTTTTCCTCTATTAATTACACAATAGACCAAATTTGGTCTATTGCCCTTGGCAAATGACCAATGGCAGATTAAAATTTTTGCTCAGTGAAGAAATACAGATGCTCGTTTTCTTTTTATACATCTTATACCTGGGTTTTAAATTACAATGACCCTTTGGGAAAAATCACAGATAATCCACAAATATAATTTTGATATGGATTTGCAACCTCTCAACAATTTCACTTTTAGAGTGGAGCTGTATCTTGTGCTGATTTAATATAATGCAAATTCATCTATCCATATTCAGCTGAGGTAGGGATGGAGAGAGCACAAGAGAATAATTTAAACACTGTCAGTGATTTTGCCCCCTAGTTTTCTCTATGGGAATTGTGAGGCTGCTCTTCCTAAGTTGATTTTAGTTTCTGAGTGTCTTGTTTTCCAAACTTCTCACCCAGAGCTGGCTTTATGGGTGTGCAACCTGCTCAGGCCCCACACTTGGAAAGGCTCCACACTTGGTTTGGTGTTCAGCTGTCACCATTTTGAAATTGTTAAGGGGCCCGCATTTTCATTTCTCATAGAGTCCTGCATATTATGTAGCTGCTCCTGATTTTACCACACAGAGTATGAGATACTTATTTTTCCTCAACTTGTCCCCAAATACAAATCAATTATTGCATTTAGTTCTCAGTTGAAGGAACTGGTATCTGTTCCAATGCTGAAGGGAAAGAAAAAAACAAAATGGAATGTATCTTGGGTCTCATGGTCCATTTAAGAATTTTGATGTGCATGGACTGCACACAATTTTGACCTTATGACCTCCCTTTAGAACTTAAACCCTCACATAAGATGTGATTCCACCGAAACTAGAAAAATGATTAAATGGAGTTCCATCTCTTTTTCTCTCTCCTATCCATCTTAAGGTGCTACGGAGAGGACTAAAAAGCTGTGGGAGGAAAAAAATCAATATAAAACAGAAACAAGAAAAAGAATTTGGCTAATTCACAAACTAGATACTTTCCTCAGCGTTCAAAATTTAACCACACCTTCTTGGCAGGTTTTGTTTTGCTTTTCCTTTTGGTCTTGAAGATAAGGCACAGTTAGATCATTGAACAGTTTTGACTATTGATCAATGTTGATGTGTGACCAATTTTCCAAGGCACCAAAAACAGTTTTTTCCCTGACTCCATTGAATTAGTACAAAACTGAACGGTGTTTCCCATTCCAATTGCCTGTACTCTCGCACTCTTCTTAGAGGAGGCAGTTCTTTCCCAGTCGTCTTTTGAGTGCCTTCCAAACTGAGGGGCTCATCTTTCAGCACTATATCAGACAATATTCTGCTGCTATTTATAAGGTTTTCACTGGCTAATTCTTTTCAGAAGTAGACTGCCAGATCCTTCTTCCTAGTCTGTCTTAGTCTGGAAGCTCAGCTGAAGCCTGTCCACCAGAATGACCCTGCTGGCATTTGCATACGAGTAGCATAGCTTCCAGGATCACAGCAAAATGCAAGCCCCCACAGTGCAACAAAATGACAGACGTGTGTATTACTAGCAGAGGGTAAAAGTATCAAACAAATAAAAGGTTTTTGAATTTAGAATATGATTCTCTGCTCTTACATATACAATTTAATTGAAATAAATATTTACTGAATACTTACATGTTGGATATCAGTAGGTATAAGGGAAATATCAATGAACAAGAAACCATGATCTTTGCCCTTATGGAACTCACAGTCCACTGAGAAGACAGGAAATAAACTAACTTTTTTGCTATTATGTGACAAGTATTATGAATGGCTAAGAGTACAGATCTGGAGTCAAACAGGTAGACCTTTCTTATAATCCCTGCTCTGTCACTTAGGAGCTGAATGATCTTGCGAAAGTTAATTTAGCTAAATGTTATGGATTGAATTATGTCCCCCAAAAATGTGTGTCAACTTGGTTAGGCCATGATTCCTAGTATTGTGTGGTTGTCCACCATTTTGTCATCTGATGTGATTTTCCTATGTATTGTAAATCCTACCTCTATGATGTTAATGAGGCAGGTTTAGAGGCAGTTATGTTAATGAGGCTGGACGTAATCTACAAGATTAGGCTGTATCTTGAGACAACGTCTTGAGATATAAAAGAGAGAACTGAGCAGAGAGAAGAGGGACTTCATTACCGCCAAGCAAGGAGAGCCAGGAGCAGAGTGTGTCCTTTGCACCTGGGGTCCCTGCACTGAGAAGCTTCTAGATGAAGGGAAGTTTGGTGAGAAAGACCTTCCCCCAGAGCCGACAGAGAAAGAAAGCCTTCCCCTGGAGTTGGTGCCCTGAATTCAGACTTCTAGTCTCCTAGACTGTGAGAGAACACATTTCTGTTTGGTAAAGTCATCCACTTGTGGTATATCTGTTATACCAGCACTAGATAACTAAGAGAGTGATCTTCAGTTTTATCTGTAAAAGGATTAATAGCAATACCTTCCTCTTAGTATTAAGCACATAAGATAATGCATATGCCTAATCACGGACTGACACAGTTAATGCTCAATAAATGTTAGCTATTACTACTACTGTTATTGCTCTTAGGTGCTGTCAAGCCCATTCCGACTCATAGCAATCCTATGTACAACAGGATGCCATCCTCACAATTGTTCCTATGCTTGAGCCCATTGTTGCATCCACTGTGTCAATCCTCTCATTGAGGGTCTTCCTCTTTTTCACTGACCCTCTATTTTACCAAGCATGATGTCCTTCTACAGGGACTGGTCCCTCCTGATAACATGTCCTAAGTATGTGAGACATAGTCTCGCCATCCTCGCTTCTAGTGAGCATTCTGGCTGTACTTCTTCTAAGACAGATTTGTTAGTTCTTTTGGCAGTTCATGGTATATTCGATATGCTTCGCCAACACCGCAATTTAAAGGTGTCAGTTCTTCTTCAGTCTTCCTTTATTCATTGTCCAGCTTTCAAATGCATATGAGGCGATCA